ATTAGCTCTAATTTTAGTTAATCTTTAGATTTCGGTTAGTTGCCAATGCAGTTTTAAATTTTACATCTAATATGTATAACTTATCTCCGTTTTATTTCAGAATTATTGTCGATTTCAGTTTTAGTTAACAATAACAGCACAATTTTGCATCTCAAGTGAATTTTGTCCTGTTTTGAGGATGTTTATATATTTTTTACTAGAAAACTAGACAAAAACACTGAAAAAAAGAGCTTTATGCATTGCATTCACTGCATTCTTACATAGATTAATTTTGTCCAGCTGTATTCCACAAGGACTCTGAACGTCTGGATAATATTCAGATAAATTACTCGAAAATCTGAGATCCAAGTCCCCTGACTGAATAGTGCTTTCTGTTTCATACTCTGATAAGGTGAGCAGTGAGGAAGTAATATTGGAGGTCCGGGTGGATAACAGTGATTAATGATCCACAAAGACTCTCTGCATTGACTGCCATGAATTGGCTTTGAGATTGTAATCAAAACTCAAATGAATAGTCCATCACCTGTCTTCCACCCAACATGGAAAGATTCTGGTTGTCTAATGGCATGTACTAATGAAAAAGACTGTGTGGCCTTGACAGCTGAGAGAAGAGTCTTTGCATAATGCCATGATGGATTGTTTCGTGACAGATGTGGTTTATGCTCATATGTTGGTGTAAATCGTCTGTTTTTTGTTGCTCAATTACCCAGGTGACACTGCTTTCATTCTCGGTGGAGATCTGAATACATATGACTGGTTTTGTGGTCCAGGGTCTCACACACACACACACACACACACACACACACACACACACAGAGCTGGATTACATGATGAAAACTGTAGTTAGTAATGTAATCTACTCATTTTAGGTAATGTATTCTGACTACTTTTTAGACAACTACTACTACTACTACTACTATTATTATTATGTTTTGTTATAATGTTGATATTATTTTATATAATATTAATAATACTGCAATAATATTGTTTTAATGCTGTGCCGTCTAAACCGACAACTTGGACCAGCCATGTTGGAGCTGGTTTTAGTTAATAATGAACAAAATGTAGGAATATGTTGTACATGTATTATCTAATGTTTTATCTAAGAACTTGAGTTTTCATTTGCACTGAGATGGATTTTCTTAATATCTGTTCCATGAGAGATTCAGCAAGCAATGAAAATTGCACCATTTCAAGTATCCCTTATTTGCTCTCTGCGATTATCACATTTTGTCTGCCAGCAAGTACAGCAGCAGCAAATGAGTGTGAGAGATTGCTTTTGAAGGTTTATGGAAGAAAGCAAGAAAAAAAATAAAACAAGGAAAATGCGTCAATGCATGACAGGGTACAAAGTGTGTGTTTATGTGAGAAATGAGGAGAGCGTAACAGATAGCTATGTAGAGGTGAGGAGTGTGTATAAATGTGTTGTGTGTGTGTGTGTGTGTATTCACCCTAGCATTAGCCCAGTGGTGGGGTGAGAGGGTGGTGAGATGTTCTACAGGAGTGTGACAGTCCCAGTGGTGTGCTGAAAGGATCTGAGTTGGACAAACAACACTAGAAGCTGCGGTGTCGGTTCAGTTAAACCCCAATCCATCCAAATCAGATCATCTGTGTCCTGGTTTCCAAACGGCTAGCTAAGGTTGCGTATGTAACCGACCTGAACTGGATTTCTCAAAGCATCTGAACACTTAGATCAGTTGTGTCTTTGAAAGCAAGTGGAACGGAAATGACTGGGAATGATCCAGCAGCAGAGCTCTCAAACTTCTCTTCTTTTGGACAAGTAACGGGTCTAATAAGAACCATTTTCTCTCATTCTCTGCCTCTCACACACTCCCACTCTTCCTGTAAATGATGTGTCATTTCTAAATTTTCAATTTCAGGTGGTAAATCCTAAAAAGAAACTCAAAAAGAGGAGATACATCAACTCTGGCACAGTGAGTAGTGAATTTGCTATCCTAAAATCCTGCACATAATCAGTATTTCTTTTTGTCTTGTTTTCCAGTACAAACATTTAAACATGCTAAACTTACCTTAGAAGTAATACTGCATAAGATAATAAGATTTATTTTCAATATATCTAAATTAAGTTTACATTTCTTATCACACCGTCAAATAGTTTTTCTTGCTTGAAGAAAATTAAACTCAATTCTGTGAGAGTTATGCCTAAAACAAGAAAAAAGAATATTTGTTAAACATAAACAATAAAAATAATTAAAGAGATGTTCTCTAAAAACAAGTTATTTTTCAGAACAATTTTACTCTCTCTTTAGTAACACTGTTATTTTAGTATTATTTCTAGATGTATTCATTTTTTGTTGCTCAATTACCCAGGTGACACTGCTTTCATTCTCGGTGGAGGCCGAACACACGTTCCTGGACTACATCAAAGCAGGGTACGGACGAAAATACACACAATCACCCTCATGTAAGCGTATGTACCGATTTTAGACTTTTCTAAAATGCTTCTGAAATCACAGTGTCACAACATGTAATTTTTGTAAACATTCTCAGCGGATGTAAAGGTCAGAATCTTACTGAAGCCATCAGGATGTTATCACAGTAATGGCGTCAAACAGCTCATCAAACAGCTTTGGGAAAGAGCTCCGGTAAACAAGACCTGAATAACCCCTTAAATGTTAAACTAGAACAACAAACACAGCTATTGTAGTAGTTACTGTAATCAGCATTCAGGGGTTGCCAGGTCCTCTTCAGTTTACACTGATGAAAGGCTGGCCTTGTGCACGGATGCCAGTAGTGTGGAAAACATCTCAGAGCTGTCGACCTTATACTGTGGTCTGATCCATTGATATGTCTGGCATTAGGAAGTATGACCTGCTGCCAACTCTGTGTCTGTTAACTCTGACATAAAGCCTGCTTCCTAAACCTGAAAAATGCTGCACTGACAGGCAGTATCTGGAGGTAGGAAGGCATCAGAGCATTTCCGAATCCTGCCTATTAAGATACCTCCATCAAATCAGTTTTTAAAGCTAGTGATTTATCCTGTCTGTATACTGTAAAAAAAAAGTACATTTGTATTAAAAAATATCCATTAATATTGCAATAAATATTTACACTATTAATTATATAATATTATTAATTACACTACCATTGAAATGTTTGGGATCTGTAAGATAAAAAAAAAAAGAAATGAATACTTTTATTTAGCAGTAATGCATTAAATTAATTAAAAATAACATTATTAGTATATTTTTAGATTTACAAAAATCTATTTCAAATAAATGCTGTCCTTATCAACTTTCTATTCATCAAAGAATCCTACAAAAATGTATCACAGTTTCCACAAAAATATAAAGTAGCACAACTGTTTTCAACATGTTTCTTGAGAACCAAATCAGAATATCAGAATGATTTCTTAAAGGGATAGTTCACCAAAAAATGAAAATTTGATGTTTATCTGCTTACCCCCAGGGCATCCAAGATGTAGGTGACTTTGTTTCTTCAGTAAAACACAAACAAAGATTTTTAACTCAAACCGTTGCAGTCTGTCAGTCATATAATGTAAGTGTGTCAATGGTCCATTTGAGAGATAGGTGGCGGTAATGCACTTATAAGTCTGCGATCTGCCGTTCGTTTCGTGTCTTTACACATCAATGTATCATTTAATTTGGTTTTGTTTGTGTATGTATGTTTTTTTGACTCTCAAAGCTGTGATTCCTATTCACTTACATTATATGACTGACAGACTGCAACGGTTTGAGTTAAAAATCTCCGTTTGTGTTCTACTGAAGAAACAGTCACCTACATCTTGGATGCCCTGGGGGTAAGCAGATAAACATCAAATTTTAATTTTTTGGGTGAACTATCCCTTTAAAGATCATGAGACACAATGGCTTCTGATAATTCAGCCTTGCTGTCACAGGAATAAATTACATTTAAAAAAATATTAAAATAGAAAACAGCTACTTTCAGTTGTAACATTTTTTTTCATAATATTACTGTTTTTACAGTACTTTTGATCAAATAATTGCAACCTTGTTGAGAATAAGACTTCTATCAACCCTAAACATTTGAATGCTAGTGTGTACGTCTATTTATATTAAATATTGTAATTTAAATTTTTTAATAATATAATTTTTTGGGTTTACAGAGAAGCAAACATTGTTTTTATTAAGCATTTTCCTGGATGTTTCCAAAGCTTTCTTAAATTTGTTCTAGATCATTATTGTGATGTTATTGTTCCTGTTGGAGGAATCTTCATACTTAGTATCTTCATTGACTTATTAGGCAGTAGTTGGTTAAAGAAAGAAAACTGGTTTGCAAACCTGTCTGTTGTGTTGAGTGAGTAATGCGTGACTCTCTTATTCTGAATGGTTCATGGATAAGATTCAAAAATCAACATAAAATCAGAATCACCTGCTTTATCAGCTGTAATGTGTGACTACAACAGCAAGCAATTAATCTGATAACCGTGCTTAATGGTTTGAATGTTCTGCTCTCTCCACCCTTTTGTCATCCAATATTGATAAGTTCCTGCCATGGTTCCTGTCCCACACCTAAATATACTAGTGTGTCTCATCCTGCTGGAGACTGATATCACCCAGTATCTCTCACTCTGTCAGTCAGGCTGTGCTGTTTAAGAGATTGAGTGAGGGAGCAACAACATTTCTAGCTCTGGACTTGACTTTGGTGTTGTGGTCTGGGTGGTTAGTACAATTACTGTTTTACAGTTTTTGTATCAATATCTTGTGCTGTGGTACTTCAAAACACAATTGTTCAGCTACCTGTTGGCAAACATTGCCAAATAGTTTTTTCTCCCTTGTTTTAAACATAAATCCAACAAACAATTGTGAGGATTATGTGTAAAACACCTCACCAAGGCTGCATTTATTTGATAAAAAAACAGTAAAAACTGTCAGATTGTGAAATATTATTACAATTAAAAACAATTGTTTACTGTTTTAATATATGTTATAATGTAATTTATTCCTGTGATGTCAAAGCTGAAATTTCAGCATCATTACTCCAGTATTCAGTGTCACATGATCCTTCAGATATCATTCTAATAAGCTGATTTGCTGCTCAAGAAACATGTTGTGCAGTTTTGTAAAAACTGTGATACATTTTTGATACATTTGATTAATAGAAATTTAAAAATAACAGCAGTAAAAACCTTTTGTAACATTTTAAATGTCTTTACTGTCACTTGTGATCAAGTTAATGCATCCCTGCTGAATAATAGTATTATTTCTTTATGAAAAATAAATTTTGCTGACCCCAAAATTTTGAATGGTACTTGGTACTTGTTTTCCGTTAATTATATCTAAACAGCCTTAAGACAGGCTGTTTAGATATATTTACCGGAAAACAAGACAAAAATAGATAATATATATGTATTTTACAGTTAAAGAGATTGGTGGTTTAATGTATTTTTATATGTATCTACACTCTCAGAAAAAAGGTACAAAAATTGTCTTTTCAAAATGGACCATTTAGGTACTAACATGTACGCTTTAGGGATAAATAAGGTACAAAGGTGTACTTTTTCAAAGGTACCACTCCAATGACAGCTTTTGCACCTGAGAGTGTTGGGTTTATAATAAATGTGGCAAAAGCCTAAAAATAAAAAACAGAGAGGCAGAGTAATAAAACAAGTGAGCGTAAACAGTCTATGATCTGTGACTATCCAAAGACGTAGCTGACCTTTCACACTGGAGTAATCTATATCGCTCTGACATCGCCCTGTGTGCCACGTTCAGTTCAGACCAACTCAGATCACTCTGTCCACACTCAAACTGCTTTCTGTCAGGTTTTCACCTTTGTTATTTTTCTTCATCAGACTCTGACCTTTAATATTGATGCTGAAAGCAGACCTTTGTATGGATTTCCCATTGCTACATGTTTCATTCACTTTCCTCTTTACAAAGAGGACTATATATATAACCCTATTTCGTTCTTAAATCATCATATCCTGGTTCAGAGAGTGAGATGGATTCTCTTTTTACTGCAGCAAATGAGTGAAAGAATCATGTCTTAAGAGAGAAGTGTTAATTATAGTGCAGGTCATAAAGGTAGCTCTCAGAGTTAATGTAAAATTGAAAACCTTTCCTGAGGACCTTATTAAATGTTTAATCATGTTTTCGAAAAGAAACGGACTGCATAGAAGAACTTCTGTCTAGACTAGTTAATCTTAATTTACATTAAGCTCAGCATTTATTCCTTGAAAAATATTTCTTCAACAGAAAACAAAGACTCGTTAGACAGATTTTTTAAACTAGAAACAAACTAGACACAAATGAGATGATTGTTGACAAAAGTAGAAGTAAAATAGATTCAATTTTAGAGTAGTATAGCTCAGATTATTTAGTCTTGGAAGAATTTGTGGAGAAATCTTTGACTTTAGAGCAGTTAAACTGAACACAGTTTGTGATATTGTTGAGATCTCCTCTGAAACCCTAAAGGATAAGATTATGGGGACTTTTTCTTAGGAGTAAATCCTGAGAAACAGTCTCCATTGATCTCCATTATTTTTATTATATTATTTTTTTCATTGCTGTCTAGGTGAAATCATTAAGATTAGATTTGTGATTCATTTCCGGTGGGAGATACAGTAGAAAGAAACACACGTACCTTTTCATGGAAATGTGATGCTTTTGTTCTTTCTTATTTTTTTTCAACTAATCTTAGTAAAGCACTTTTTATAGGTGATTAGATCTGTAGAGGTCTCTTGAACTCATCAGATTGCACTTCATCCTGGGCCAGAGTGAGACATTGTGTAAAATGTGATTGAAGAACTCATGAGGGGAATCTAGCTTTAGAAAGACACAAGACACTCATAACCATACAGCGAGGATATACAAAACTACCGCATTGCAGAGATGTGTGTGTTCCTGGATCAAGTTACACATTAATACATTTACAAAATATATTTATATAAAAAAACTGTCAGTGTTTTTTGCATTCATTGGATCAAAAGTGTTAATTTATCATGAATGTAAAACACATCTGTCTGCACTGTTGCTAATGTGACAGTCACAATCCCATCATTCTATATCATTCAATTCTAGCTGTTTTTTTCACTCCTATAGATGACATTCAGAATTCCAGCATTAAGATAAATGTTCTTCATATAAAAGCTCCGGTCCAAAAGCTCTCGGAGGTTTCTTGTCTCCACCAAAGGAGCTGTTGAGGTTCCCGGTATAATGCAGATTAATGCACCAGCCCCGCTTTGTGCCTGGAGATATCAGTGATAATCAAAAAAAAAAAGAAAACTTGAGATGGACAGAAAAAAAGGAATGAAGATTAAAGAGCATAAACAGAGCTTGTTAATCACCATTGTGCTGCTCCCCCCTCCTTCCTGTTTATATTGTGCTGAGTTAAATAATAATAATAAAGGCTGGTAAAAAGGATTCAGTTTTTTGGTCCCTACCCAAGGTCTTTGCATAAACACAATACCCTTGTGTTGCATATGAATATGATTTGGCCCGAATCTCATTAACAGATGTGTGGTCATGTTTGCGGATGTACTGTGGATGTTTAAAATACATAATTACTCTCTGCTGACCCATCACTGATGAATCAACGCTTAAGAAAACTTTTCACTATAGGGGTTGTGTATGAATGACAGCTGTAGCCGCATGTTGATTAGGGCCTTCTTTGAAATGCTTTTCCCCCATTTCGTTTTTTGTGTTTTACCCACTTGCATCGAGAATGATTTCTTTGTGTGTGTGCAAATGTTTCATAAATATTCACTGACTTCATACTCCATGTTTTCCGACATTCTCGTCCAGAGCTCATTTCTCATTTGCACTGAGACCACAGAGTTCATGCTGAAAGGGGAAAGCCATTGAGATTCAGATATTAGATGTCATTATGATATTTTTCAGTGCTTCAGAGGTTATCTGTGCAAGTGTGCTGTGTGTTCAGCAGCAGAAAAACTTGTTTGTTCTCGTATAATCGGTTCCATTGTGCAGGTGCTCAGATTAGCCATTTGTTTTCTGTGGGCTCAGTGCTTTCTGTTAATTTAAAGGGAGATAAAGAGATTAACAAAAGCAAACTAAACAAAAACATTGGTTATCCAATTAGATGTTTTATGGCCATTTAAAAATGGCAGTATTAGAATCTGTAACAGATTTTTAAATATTTTTCTTTTAATATACATTTATTTCTATAGCACTTTTCACAATAAATACTGTACCAAAGCAGCTTTACAAAGAATAATGCTTTATGAGTGAGACAAAATCTGGGACCTATGTATGCATATACATGCATGTTTATGCTTGCTTATTTGTATTCACGTGTTTATTTTTATTTTTGTTTTTTAATTGTAATATTGCATGCTATTTTATCTGTATGAGATATGATAGTAGAAAACTAACAGGAAGGTTTAGGGAAAACAGAACTGGGACATTTTTATTTATTTTTAAATTTATTTTTATGCCATGGGTGCATTGCTTTAATTCCAATGAAATTAAACTTGAACCTGGAATAAACTGAAACAGTGAAAATGAAAAATAATAATGCTAATAAATAATTATATTCTAATTTAATTTTAACTTTCATCCAGTTTGTTAAAAATATATTTTGTGACTAATAAGTTATTAAATGACAAATTAAATGTTTAAAATATGCTATTTTTATCAGAATCAGAATCAGAATGAGCTTTATTGCCAGGTATGTTTACACATACGAGGAATTTGTTTTCGTGACAGAAGCTTCCACAGTGTAACAGAATGACAGTGACAGAACAAAAAACACAGATGGCATATGCACATTTAGCTTACATCAATATAATGATGTATAATTCACTCACCCTTTAGCTCTGTATTAGAGCAAAACAAAAGGAATTACTAAATGAATAGAAATAAACCCAATACCTGTAGAATTTTGTTCTACTGGGTTACACTAACAAAAACATAAAAACAACTGCGGAGCATGCCACGGAGGCAGCCATCACCGTCGGCGCCATCTTGCATCTTGTAGGTTTTTGTCCCCACTGTATATAATACACTGATATACATTATAACATTTCTTCTTTGGATTGCTTGAACGAAATTGTAATTCAAAGGGCTGTTATTTAAAAGACATGTCCCTGCACTGTGCTCTGATGCCCATTGAACTCTAGCTATCAGAATCAGTGGGTAATCACTGGCTCCATACTGTGTCTATAGTGAATGTACTGTCCTCCAGCCAGTCTCTCTGCACGATAAGCATCAGTAATCCAGAACTAAGCTGGAGTTCCCACTGATTTCAGTATAGAAACAGAGTTGTGAGCAAATCTGTGATGTCTGGCGGTTTTGTATGTGGAAGTCTTCCTCGACTGCTGTTCTGAGACCAGTTTCACTGTTGCCCTAATTTAAAAAAAATGAGGAAAAAGAAGTGGGTTTTACACAGATGTTGGATCTGCCCACCAGGCAGAGTTGATTGTGAGGAACGTCTGGCTGCTGAGCGGGAGGTTGGCTGTCTGCCTGTCAGGTGAGAGAGACAACACAATGCAGGGCTGGGGATGGTAATTACACCAACCTCTCGAACAGCGAGAGTGGAAACATTGGAGTGTTTTGAAGCTGGAAATGTGATCTGTGCCACAGTTTGGGGTGAATCAGCATCCATCACCTTTGTTGAGCCTCACCGTCAGGTTCTCACATCTGTAATGTGTGAAAATGTTGGCTTATAGTATATCGAAATGCTTTCATTTGATATTCTTACCTTCTCCTCTTTCTCTCTCTAGCACTCAGATCCATTTCACAGTGGCCATTGATTTCACTGCGTCCAATGGTAAGGATTGTTTTTTTTTTTTCAGTGTTGATTGGATTTGTTCTCTATGCTGTTGACCAACAGATCTGAATCAGATTTTGCCTTAATTTATGATTTCTCTCTCTTTTTAAACTCTAGGGAACCCTTCTCAGTCTACCTCCCTGCATTACATGAGCCCCTATCAGATGAACGCGTATGCCATGGCGTTGAAGGCCGTGGGCGAGATCATTCAGGACTATGACAGCGATAAGATGTTTCCTGCATTGGGCTTTGGAGCCAAACTTCCTCCTGATGGCCGGGTTTCCCATGAATTTCCCCTGGTACCTGTTTCCTAGATATGATAGATTATGTGGATTTCACAGCTAGCTGGTGCACATCCAGAGTCATTTCTGTTTGAATACTAAATGCGTGCCGTGTTTTTCAGACACTCTGAATAATGTTGCTTTGTGAAATTTAATGTGTGAGGGTATGTATGGTTGTTTTCAAGTATTTATTTAGTTTTTTGCACATATGTTGATGATATTGTAATTAGTAATGCTCGGTTACATCTATGTTTAATGTGTAAATAAGGCTCTCCTGACACTCCTGCTCATTAACGTTACCCAAGTATTCATGATGCGTGTGTGCCAAACCCTCATCTCATCGAGCATTTTGAGTCTCGTAATTAGTTTTCGCTCGCTCTTTCTCTTTTAGTCCTCCATCAGCTACTCCTCCTTCCACCTCTTTTTCCCTGTGCTGGAACTTAGGATCATGACTATTCATTTTTATTCTTGCTGCTTCACTTTTCAAGTATCACTGTCCTTAGAGCATGAATAATTATCTAATGATGAATCATAAAATACTGAACAGATTCTGAGATCACTAAGGGCGACACACTAGAGAACGTTTTGACGGTACTTTTGACGAATATGAATGTGCAAAATTGTTTTTTAGTATGCAGAAAGAACCAGTTTTTGGTTGCGGCTTCCCTTTATGTCCTTGAGACGCACCATCACCATTGAAATCAATTGATTCACAGTTAAATTCACGGATGTGCCGCAAATTCTAGTGCGTAGACACCCTAAAGAATACTCTATACTCTAGAGTTTTATATTCAAATGAATAATGACAGATATCTAGAGAAATGTAAAGTATTATGATAATTCTAGTCTGCTGAGTTGGCATTGACAGTAGAGGCATAGTGTTAACTGATCTCTGGTGTTCTCTTTGAAGAATGGTAATGTAGATAACCCATACTGCAACGGGATGGAGGGCATCCTAGAGGCTTACCACGAGAGTCTGAAGACTGTCCAGCTCTACGGACCCACCAATTTTGCTCCTGTCATCAACCATGTAGCAAGGTAAGAAAAATGCAACAGAGGAGCATGCTGGCACAGTTGAAAACTTATCCTGTGTAAACCAGTGCTGAGATTGATTTCTACACTCAAATGAATAGAAAATGGTCCTATTAAAATAACAGTCTTTGCTCAGTCAAGCAAAAATGTTTGTCATGATGGACTTTATTTTGATTTTTGCCTTTACAATTTTGGAAAAACAAAAGATCACCTTTTCATCTGGTGTTTTGGGACTCGTTGGCTAAAACTTCATAGCCGGAGTTGACATCTTAAATATTAAATATTAGCTCATAGAACAAAACTGATGATCTTTTGGAGATGTAAAAGTGTGGTCACATTTACTATCATTTGGTGAATTTTAAAGGCCAAATATAGTCAGTTCAATAGGAATCTGTGCAATCTGGAGTTTGGCTTGAGGGCAAAAGATTCTCCCACACAGATTTCACATCATGTTCAAGTTGGTCACGCAAATGTATCGCTGTAATCACTAATACCGTCATTAATGTGTCCTTACATTTAAGCTCTCTATTTAGGCTGCAGCTTCTGTTTGCATATTCTTCACGCTGTCCTGGGTACTGATGTATGAAGGAAAGTTTTCACCTTAGAGTAAAAAATAAAACTAATAACTGAAAAAAATAAATAAATAAATAAAACCATATTGTGACATGTAAAGTCGCAACTGTGAGAAATAGTCAAATGTCAGAAATAATGTTGCAACTGTGAGAAAGAGAAACAAATGAAATATTTAGTCACTGTTGTGAGAAACAAAGTAACGAGGGATGTAGCATTGTAATTGTGTAACAAAGTTGAAATTGTGAGAAAAAGTATCAACTGTGAGAAAAAACAGTTGAGGACCAAAGATTTAAATTAAAATATAAAGTGATAAATTATGAGTTATAAAGTCGCAATTATGAGAAACAGCTGAAATTTAGAGAAAAATGTGAGAAAGTCACAATTGTGAGATATATAATGTTGCAGTTTTGGCAAACAGTCAAAATCGTGAGATGTAAAGTCGCAATTATGAGATTCAAAGTTGAAATTACGAGAAATAGTCATAACTGTGAGAAAGTCACAATGAGATATTGCAATTATGACAAACTCACAACTGTGAGATATAAAATCACAATTATGTGCAACAAAGTTACAATTGTGAGCAATAAAGTCGCAATTATGAGAAACAAAGTCGTAGCTGTGAGGAATAAAATAATAATTACAAAAAGTCACACCTGACTTCTTCTGTTTTGTATTCTGAGGCAGACACAGACTTCTGTACTCATGAACACTGTAGCTAATGTGATAGTGATTGTACGTATTGTCAAAATTAACATGTAGATGATTTAACAAGCATAAAGTATTTGTTTCATGTTGCTGTGACCGTGTGCGGACCTCCGAGAGACCAGATCTCCTGTCATAGCTTCTGTAAAATGTTTTGCGTCACAAAGAGCATTATGGGATTTTGATGAAGGCAGAAGAGCTGTGTCAATAGCAGAGGGACCTCCCAGAGCAAATATATATATGCATGAGATTCAGCGCTGAATACTAAGTGTTCATTGAGGATGCTCATTCTTTCATTATTCATCCGCCGTGTTAAAACAAACAATCAACGGTACCAGCATGAAGAGATTTTCATATTTGGGTTATGGTTCATTTGGGTGATTTGGATCATAACGGTTTCTGCTAATATGTTTGTTAATGTGAAAATGTGATTGCGTGTGTGTATGTGTGTGTGTGTCTCGGCGCAGGTATGCTGCAGCAGTTCAAGACGGCTCGCAATACTTTGTGCTTCTCATCATCACAGACGGTGTGATATCAGATATGGCTCAGACTAAAGAAGCCATCGTCAATGTGAGTTATCCTTGACCTTTCTCTGTCTCTCGCCTACTGTCCTCAAAAACGGTTTACATCATCATATTCTGGTGCAACACTGCATCACAAGTGCCCCCCAGGCAAAGTCGAAGAAGAGTTAAGGTGCTTTATGGGTCTTCCGGAGGTCCTCTCCGCACCTAATGGGATTCGCCTGTCTCCGTTGCTATGGTTACCCAGCAGACTGGATTTAAAGGGAATTTGCGACTGTTTAGTCACATTATTAAAACAGCCACACCTTCCTTTTAAGATCTTGCCTGCTGCTCTGTCTCTTCTTCACCCTCTACCCAGGATGCTTTGGATCTCGGTCTTCGGTCACACGGTAACATTTCTGCACTGACTGATATGGGTTCATGCACTTTGAATGACTGAACACTTCATGTGCGTTATGCGTTTTTATGACTTGAGGGATTTTTATTGTAGTCTGCTATGGAAATTCCACACTTGTGCTCTTTTCTGTTGGTCTTTTTAAAATGATTAGATAAAAATGAGCACTTTGAAGTGTTTCTCATATCACTCTCTCACTCTGACTGCTGATTCTCTGCACTCACAGTGATTTGGCCTCTTATATATATTCTAGCTGAAGTAGCTGAAGCGAAATGTAGGTTAATTCCATGGACTGAATGGTCATTGGTTTTTGTCATCACTTAATTTTTACCATTGGTGTTTTTCGAACAAGAATAATTACTCGGAAATAACCATTTTTAGGCATTATTTTGTCTTGTTTCCCAATAAAAATATCTAAACATCTTTAAATAAATAAACTTGAGAAGCAAAGGTATTTTTTTTTTTTTACCTTTTTATAAGTCTCGTATCTTCTTCTAGAGCAACTGAGGTTAAATGTTTTCATAAACAAAAATCTAATATACTACAGATACACTGTAAATATTTTAATCAGTATTTCTGTCTTGTTTTACAGTAATTACAATATATAAAAAAAACATGTAAATAAAACAAGGATTATTGGAGTATGTTTTACAAGAAAATATTTCAGTGTCTCTACTTCAAAATTTCACATTTAATTCATATGTTACTTCCCTAGTAAAAAAGTTATATATTCAAAATACATTTATTTTATACGAAGTTCAAATTTATTAACATATTTACTGACATATCGCTCGAGACTTACTGATATAAAAATTTGAATTAAATTTTATTTGGAGTACTACTTGTGCACAATGCACATTTCTTAAAATTTAGCCTAAAATGTGTTTTAATGTCACTATTGATGAGGATTGTATGATCTTTGAATAATATCGTTCTTTAAATGCAAGATATTTAAAGTGTACCTGAAGTATACTTGCAATAGTTCCACTTTAGCACAATCAAATCTACTTCAGTATATCTTTAATTGAACTTCAGCACTTCTTCCGCACAATTAAAGTACATTAAGTACAAAATTAGTTGTTCCAATTTAGCAGACTTTGAGTATACCAGTTTAGTATACCAAAACTACAATTTCAGGGTATTTATTAAGCACATAAATATGTAATTGTATTTTTAGTATACTTAGCATAAAATAAATGTATTTCAAATACATTTTAGTATATTTATTTTTCACTAGGGTCGCCATTTGTTTGTAATTGTAAAATTTACCAGCAATTTCTGAGTGAAAAGTTTTTCTACAGTGTAAAACTTTGTTAGATTTATGCTTAAAACAAGAAAACAGTTGTCAATTGAAATAAAGAACAAAATAAATAAACAATAAATAAATTAAAGATATGTGATTTGAAAAGTCTTAATATCTTTTCCAGTTTTGCTTCTCAAGTCAATGTTTCTAAGGGTATTTCAGTATTTATGGAAAAACATGACAAGAAATAATGATTACAAGAATGATGTTTCCAGTGTATGTGTAAAAAGGATGTATTTAATATTTAATAAATCTATAAATTATGTTTTATCCTCACTGATACCAGTAGATATGTGCATGTTCAAGCAGTCACTGAGAATCTAAGAATACACTGAAGCCAAGCAAGAGGGTATGTGGCTCAGCGGAAAAGAGAACACTGTAATTCACAGCGTTTATTATAGACTAGCTGCAAATGTGCCACATCACATAATTCACAGTAATCTGCACTTATTTCATGGCTGAGAAAGGTATTTGTTAAAAAAAGTCAGGAAAACAGGGAGAAACAAGAGGGAGAGGGAAAGTAAACAAACAAGTGAGCAAGAGAGATTTCGAGAGAAGCACTTGAAGGAAAGACCTACAGGAAATAGAGCAGTGAATACATGAAGTGTGTGTGAAATGTGTTTGTTTAGACTCCTCTTCCCAGCTCTATTTCTTTTAACACATGACCGCCTCTGTCCCCCGTGAGCATTTCCGGGAATGCTGACCTACTTCCAACCCCATAAATATGTTTTTATAATCCTTGCCCATTGGCACCAAGCACTCAATGTCCTGTCTGCACAATGCATACAGACAGGGATAGACTGGTAGACAAAAAACAGCCTGGGACCAATACCATCCCCATCACAACACAAGTGGATAGAATAATTATTGCCTGCTTTATTTATGTATTAGGGGTATAAAAGTATTCATACAAAAAATTTAGAAGAGATATAGGAAAATGCTGTTTATGTTCATATACCTTTCTGTTACAAACTCATCTGAAAAGTTCATAGCGACTTTCCCTCCTGTAAGTTGTGTGTGCTGCTTAGTGAATTTAAGACATGTTTTCTTCAGCTCATAACTTTCATCTTAAGATTTTATCCTTAACTGTAAATATTATAAAGTCAAGCAAGTATTTCCATTTTGCAAAAAGGCTTGTCTTGACAGCAAGTGAGTATTAGACTTCACATAAGTAGCGCAGCGCGTGCACACAAACATGTACAAATTAATATTTTATTCTTTGAACAAATGTATTTAAAAAAAATACTCACTGAAAGCTAGTAAAGCAGAGTCAGAAATAAAGAAACACAGTGAAAACTACTATAAATAGATTTCATTTATTCATATTGATTTCCACTATATGTCTGAAATTCTGAAAGAAGCAGTCAGCTGATTCTGCTTGACAATTTATAGAGTCCATCTTTTGGTTTCCCACATAAAGCTCAAGGGTTATTGAAGGAATTGATCTGTGAATCGTAGTAATTAATGATCTAAATCACTCATTTGGTTTGATTAGCCCTCCAGGCCCCACAGTTTAGGGTTTGTTTGTGCTGTGTGTGTGTGGCTATTTTCATCTTGTGTGATGTGTTTTTGTGTGGCCCCCGGTGAAATTCCAATTCTAACTCCATTACAGTCCACAAACTTATCAGTGTGACTGAGGGTGTGTGTCCAGCCAGCTTTATTCGACAAATTATTCATTCCTCTCAACAGGCTTTCACGGGCCCTCTGGGGGAGTACTTTCAAAATTCAGACCCTCAGGAGCCTTTAATATTTCCCTCTTTATATATTTGATATATTAAAGGTATATTTCATTATAAGATCTTCACATTATTTCATAGAAATCATGTTCCCCCCTTGTATGTATTTCTTGTATTTTAGTCTTTTTCTGCTGGGATCATGTGTAATGCATTATATGCAATTATTTTTCATTTCAAACCACCGGGAAGTCGCTTTGGGGAGAAAGTGAGTTTTGTTTCTCTGAATATCCTGTGGTTTTCTGGTTATCCGTTGTCACTGGTAAGCAGCCTCTGAGCTAGCTCACTCTTTACTTCTCTGATAAAGGGGATTTGACCTGTCAGTCAGGCATCATATCAGGAACAGGGACAGTTAGCAAGCAGAGAGAATGTTGATCCAGGAGGGTCTGAATAATGCATAGCTTTCACCTCACTGTATGTGAAAAAATAGCGCTGTCAAAATATTCTTTTCAAGCCATCACAGTCAAAGTCCCAGCGTTCTTTCAAACCCGACTGGCTTAACATGTTCGGAAATAAACAACTCATTTTCTTTTGTTACCGCTTTCACAGGCTGTGTATTAAATGTATAAAACTGTATTTGACCCCCAAAATGATTGTATTTTACATAAGGAGAGTTTTTGTTTTGTGATTCATATGTCACGATGATTCATTCATTGTGACATATGATGGTGATTCATTCTTATGACTGTAAAACTGCAAAATGATACAGTAAAATAGCTGTAATATAATGATACCAAGCCAATGCAAGTGGAAGATATAATTTTCTTCAGATGCTTTTTTTTCTTTTTTCCCCTGTACTGTTCGGTGTCAAATAGGTCAGTCCATTACAGTAAATCTGAATGATCTTAACAGAAATGTTGAATTCTGAATAATCAAACAGTAATTTTAGGATCGTATCTGAGTATGTAAACTGTTTATCATGAAGTAGAATTGATCTTCTCTGTTTTCTTTTCTCAGGCGGCAAAACTACCTATGTCCATTATTATTGTTGGAGTTGGCCAGGCTGAGTTTGATGGTAAGACGTGAAACTATTGTTATTTAGTTTCATCTTTATATCTTCTATATTCTCCATTTTCTTTTCTCGTTATTTACTCTTACTATATTTAATGTATTGCAAACATAAGAAGAAAATGTTCTGCATAACCCTTTATTGCTTGTTTGTACTGTACTCAGCATCTTCCTAACTGTTTCTTAACTATCAACTCAGCTAATAATAGTATTCCCACATGGAGGTTTAAAACTTGAATGCATAAATGCAACTTCACAGTTTGCACTCCCGTAAAGTAGAGTTTCTGGATGAAAAGTCACCTAATTGGGAAGGTTTAGGGTTTCGGACTGATAAGCAGATGTCAACACGCAGATCTCACAGCTGTTCAATATAATTAGCATGTCCCACCATCTGCTATTAGTATTTGTGTTGGGCCTTTCATAATGTTCCAGCAAAGAGGTAAATGTTGGTGTCATGCTGGGGCGAAAGGCTCCAGATTGTTTTATTTGCTGGAGGGCAGATAACATGATGATCTCACTTTTTAGCCATGGTTGAACTGGACGGCGATGATGTAAGAATATCCTCCAGAGGAAAGCTGGCGGAGAGGGATATAGTACAGGTACATATCTCTATGTTTTTATATGTTGTATATGTATGAATTCATATTTTCACACACACACACACACACACACACACACAATATTTGGTGGTGAAAAGTGGTCAGTAATTCAGGATTCGTTCTGATTCATTCATAATCACTGATTCGGTTAGGAATGCCATATACGCATATCTCAGCAAAATATTTATGTAGCCTAAGCAGAGTCAAAGTAATATAAATCTTTGGGGAAGTTTCTTAAGGAATAACTTTGGGTGACCTACATTTACAGACATCTCAGATTCAGAGAATACTGCAACATCACACATGAAAAAAGGAAAATAAATAACTCAAGCTAACAAACAACAACAATGCCTTGTGCAGCCTATAAATAATGAAAGAATCCAGAGTATTTTTTGTGTGTGAAACAACCAGGTTACATTGGTTACATGGGTATTTCAGTTACCTAGACTTGAAAAAAAAAACATGAAAATGATTCAGGGAATAAATTAAACAACTATAGCTAACTGCTTTTTAATCTTATCTCTGCCTGCAGTTTGTACCATTCAGAGACTACATGGATAGGACAGGAAACCATGTCCTGAGCATGGCACGGCTTGCCAAGGATGTCCTGGCCGAGATCCCGGATCAGTTAATTTTATATATGAAGTCAAGGGGCATCAAGCCCAACCAGACACCACCAGACTACAGCCCACCTGGGCTCAGCCCAACCCCCACCGTATGAGTTTACCCAGCCTGCTGAAATAAAACAGGTGATGTTATGTCACCTCCAATTTGGATCTCGTTCAAAGCCAATACAACTGATTCAGTGTGAGGCGTCTAGGAGAGCGGATGGATTCAATTCCCGGTTTTTGGATCTCATACACTGGAGAAATTGAAAACTCTATCTGTGTTCTGGAGGTTGAACTGGAAAGAACGGTACTTATTGATCTGTGAGTTGGTTTCCTCCTCATAATTTCTTTACAAATTAGCCAACATTTATAGTTTGGATCAGTCTCATTCAGATTCATACGTCCGACTTTGCGCAAGCAATGCAATTTTCTGCTTATTTAACATCTCAACATCTATAAAAACGCTATAGGTCTTGTGTGTCAGCATGTGAGGACTGTGTGTTATATTAGGAAAATCTTTCTTGTATCTGCCAGAGGAGGCAAACAAGAGCATCACTAGAAAGTGTGATTTAAAAAAATAGTGAAACAATAAGTGGTTGTTTGAAATATTATACCCTGTACGGGTGATCTGTTTAGTGAAATTGTTTGATTTGTTTCTAGAATTTGTAGATAGTTTGTGTTATGGTGGTTTTATTTTTTCCATGGGGTTTGGGCAAAGTCTTTTTAGTACAAAGTTATATTTCCCATTGCAGTGTCCTATTTATAGCTTTTTAGAGCTATGATAAACAAGATTTTCTATTCTAAAGCATGAAATCCAGGTAAAAACAATTGTCCATTGCATTAATACATTGTATTAAATGTATTTACGTGCTTTAGATGAAATCAGTAAAGAAAAATCCAATGTAAAAGAGAAGCACAAATATTTTCTTAAAGCTATAAAATTTATAAATGTTAATCAGAGGTCACAGATTCAGATTCATTACTGTACACAGACTGAAAGAAATTTCAGGAACAATCAGCTCACAAGAACACAAAATTTACTTTAATTTGCCCCTCCGAGTTGATATATCTTGATATTGTACAGCAGCTCCTCAGACGCATGCGAGCCATCCGGGGAAACATGAGAGATGTCTCGGCCGCTCGCTGCTCGCTGCTAAAGATGATTGGAGATGAGGCAGCGTCTGCTGTTTCTCTCATAGCACTGTCTGACTCACCTGCTGTCAGTGTCCAGCCACGCTGAACCTTAGCTCCCTCATTCCTGGGATTTTCCCTGGAGTTTAAAACACTTTTCTATTCTTCACCATGACAGGATTATTTTACTGGTTTCAAAAGATGAAAGACACATTGCATGCAGCTGAAATTGCGTTACTCGCAGTGCAAACATAATGCCATTTTGTTTCAGTGTTCTAGCTTGAAATGATTTATAGCATTGACATAATAACAGGACAAGCATCGAACACAATTAATTTAATAAACTTGCCTTACATACAGTAAGTTTACATTAATGGTTGATAGGAAGCATCAATTAGAAACAGTATTTTATATGCAGTATTATTACTAAGGAAGCGCATGTTGATTTCCTTTTCAATTTTAAAACCTTAATAGGCTTAAGACATTCAGTTAAATCTCAGAAAATGTTAGCTATATGATTTACTCTTGTCTAGCATATACAGCCTCTTTTGTCTGAGGTCCATTTTGAAAATTAATAATCACTATCACAGACAAATCTGTATGTATCAGTAAATACTGACTGACTTGCTTTTTTGGACAGCAGGGCCGTTTATACTTGTTCTTACCCACAGTTTTGATACATTTCCTCCTTGTCCGGTAAATTTTTACATCTTTGCTTGTTTGTCCCAAGTTGTACCAATGTTTTGGTTTTAGAACATTTATCTGTTATTGTGGTGTAGATTATGAACTGTGAAGATGAACTGCAGTTTTATTTTTAAATCTCCTCTGGTCCTGAAGCTACAAATTTGTAAGTTAGCACAGATGTTTACAAAATGTGATTTCCTCCTTTTTAACCCACTTTTACAACAAGAATGACAATGTTCTTTTGCAAAGATTGTTAAATTTGGAAAATCTGCTCCCGGATAACAAGACAATGTGTTTAAACGCACCTTTCTTTTACTGTGAGTTATTAGCACACCTGCAGTTACTGAGAATGAAGTGATCCATCAATCAATTAGGAGGTGAAGATTAAGTCTGACAAAGGGAGCATTGGGTGAAAAGGTTTGTTTGAGAGTGTTAGCAGGTGTATTGATTTTAAAGGCTTATTTACTCTTCACTTGATATTGTTAATGGCTAGTTAATAACTAGAAGATAATAGTCCTTTTACTGTTGAGAAGAATTTTTTTTTTTTTTCATGTTTCTTATTTATATTTGTTTTTTTCTTTTCAAGGGCCTTTTTATTGTATTCTGTTTCTCAAATGTGAACCTGAAATTTCTACTTGCATAAATTTAACCTTTTTTAAAATCCTGTTTAATATTTATGAACACATTGCTGCTAGGTGGCTTGTAAATCCGAAAAACAAATTACAGGCATCCTGAAACACATGTATATCACTATCCAGAGAATGTTAATGGGTTAATTTTATGGCATGGTGTAAATTTAGCAAATGCTATTTGTTTTATCCCACTATAATAAAAGTCATATAGTAGTTCACAAAACCATTGCAAAGAGGTAATAGTAAGAAAAAGTGTCAATTATGTGTTAAAGATGTGGCCCTTGTCCAGTGCCAACATTCCCTCTGTGAGATATGCATGATTGTGCCAAAATAGCCGATGGGTTCAGTGATGAACTGGCCTATTGCTCTGCGTTAAGCCTCTGCCGCTCGTCTCATAATCGAAATCCAGAGCATGACGCATCCCATCCTTGCTATATTCCTTTTCCTTCTCTCTTTATCTCTTCTTCTTTGCCTCTCTTTATCTCTGTCGATACGCATGGTGAGATATTTCCAAACCGAACATAGAACATTGCTGTTGTCATACCCGTGGTGTGTGAAATTTGTAATGGATTGCCTTAAAAATGACAATGAATAAAACAATGACAATGTTTTTCGAGAAGATCAGAGAGAGATTTTTTTGTATGCATGAGTTTCTTCTTCATGAATAAATCCATCAGTTACAAACTGTTGCAGTCTATTACAAACCGAAGCAGCCTTTAATGGGGAGCAGAGAGATTTTCTCATTAATTCATGTTAGATGCCACGGCTGGGCCCTCCAGAGACAGGTGTGCATTTACATAAGTCTATTCGCTTTAGTTCCTTTGGGTTTGTCACATTCATTCTGAGCGATTAGTCACTAGTCTCTCTGGTCGCAGTGTTTAGATGATGTACATGGGTGAGTTTCTCTTCTCAAAGGGTAAAATACCATTAAATGTCATTAGCTAGTTTTTTGTGTGTGCTGACACTGCAGAAGTTCCAATCTATGCTGTGCTCATTATGTTTACTTGCTAGTTGCTAAATGCTAAACGATTGCTATTTAGGGTGTGGTCAATTTTACTGAGGCGAAAATAGACTGACTGAAAAGGGCAGTCATGATGCAAATAGAAAATAAACTCTTAAGTTGAGAGATGGGTAGAATTTTAACTAAGTCACAAGTATTGTTCAGACTTGTCCTTTAATCAAAGTCTTTTTGTCATTGCCGAACAGCGGCAAGAAGAGAACTCGCCGTCCAATCAGTTGGCTCCCTGGGGCCGGTTGGTGCGTTTCCTTCCACAAGAGCACCTGCAGCATTTAATAAGATTCACTTCTGATACATCAGCTGCATCACCTGAATTGAAGGAAGGAAGGATGGGGGAAGATGTATTGCTGATACAGAGTTTATTTGTTTTCTCTCTATAGCAAAAATGCATTTGCTAAATTGCCGTCCTGCTTCTTGAGGCCTTCAGCTGCTCTATAATGAGTGGAACCCTTTGAAATCAAAAGCTATTTTTCAATGTTACCAGTGGAGATGGAGACTCACAATTCTGACAGACTGATTGATGGTCCCTTCAAAGACCACCGTATCGGTTTTGAGTGCTAATGCCAAATTAATTCCATAAATTGCTGTGAAGAACCAGCAAAAGCAATGCTTCCATTGGCAACTGTTTCCCAAAAGAGAAGAGGAAGGAGAAAAAAAACCATCTGGACAATGTTCTCTGGAAGAACAGATGCAAAGCATGTCCCGAACAATCTGGGAGAGACATTAGACACCAAGACAATACAGTGACAGAACAACAGAACAGAGCTGTATCTATAGGCCTACATAGGATATTCTCATGGGGTCAAACTTTGCCATACTAGGACCCACCCAAATAAAATCACTCTCAATATTTGTTTTTATTTTTTTTTCTAATCCTTAATATTGTTTCAGTAAGTGTTCCTCAATTTCATTCCAGACCAAAAATGAGGAGTAGCCTACCGAAGTTGAGAAGCTTTGAGCAAATTCACTGACTTGCAGTTCAGTAAAGTTAATTCAGTAGCTGCTCTGATAGCTTAGGTAAGTAAGGATTCCTCAAAGTGATTCAAATAACAGAGTTCGTGTGTTTTCGAATGATTCATTTAAAGAACCACCTCATGAGAGTCATTTGTTCGTGAATCTATTTATATACGTGACCTTGTTTATGCGTGCAATGCTGAGGAGCGCCATCGCTTGAAGTCGGCATGAAATCAAAATGAACAATTCTTATTTTTTGATGGAATACTGTAGTGTTTATTATAAATAATTTATCGGTGCACTTCATTATTTTTTTAAAATTCATGTGCCCTCCTAATCTTTAATCAAAAACGAAGTATGTACTCTTTTTGTGAAGAAAAAGTACATACTTTTGAGTATGTAGAAGAATAGTAGGCAAGCTTTGGGACATACTACTTCGTCATAACTGGTCTTTAATGGACGCTCTGTTGCTTAGTTACATACATTCTGTCACTGTTTAAACTGCCCTATCAATCATCTTGTCACAGTTAACATCATCCACATTTCGTTTAATTTGATTTCCTACCGTATTGGAGAGAAATGAAGAGGCACATTGATCTGCTAGTCGCGGGTCTATCATGCCAAGAACTCTGCTCATGTGTTTGCATAATGATGCATTTAAAAGTTAATGACCAACGTATCATTATAAAAGTTCACAGTGTTGCTGCAGATGAAATATAAAGTGGATAACATTACATTTATATTTTTTCATCAGGTTAGACATTGATTATTTATCACTCAAATCCCTTTCTCTGCCTGTCCGTTTGTCGCGTATATCCGCCATGTTTGTAGTTT